TAGTTAGATGTTACTAGTAGTAGTGTTGATTCATTCATACCACCAAAGTAATAATTTACCACAACTAATTCATGAATGTTCTGGAGCTAAAGGTCTAAACAGAAACATGAAAATCAAAGCTCAATTCTTGGCTGGATCAGGATTCTCTCTGTATGGCAAATATCAACTAGTGAGTACATCTGTAAATTAAAGATCATGGTTTTTTTGCACACCATAATAATCTTCAGCTCTCACCTGCCTCTCCATCTCCTACGCACCTCCATTTTGTCTGTCTCTTCTACTCTAGATATACTGGTTTACCTGGTTAAGGCTACTAGCCTCATTTAAATAAATTTAATTTAATGGCATCCAATTTTTTTTTACAGTTTTGCTTACTATAGGCATTATATTGCTGTCATCACTCCTAACAAGAGAAAAGGTGTGCAAAATGTCCATTGGCATAAGCATATTCATATATTCAGAGACAGAATCATTGAAGTAATTCACTAAATAAACTCCTTCTCTTTTTAAGCATTATGTGGAATATTCATTAATATATTATTTTGGATCCTCGCTATAGAGATATTTTCAAAAGTTGTGATTAATGAGAGTTGCAATGGCTTAAAATGGCTGTATTATACATGCAAAAGCAAGAGAAAGAGTGGTTAGTCACTAGGACAAGACTGTGATTCCAAGTCACTGCAAGAAAGTTGTCAATGACCAAAGAAAAAGGAATTATTTTCTGAGGAGATTCTTCTCCTTAAACGTGATTCCATGAAATTTAGTATATGTTGAATGCAAACACCTTAAATACTAATAATGCTTTCCCTGGTTATCTATATCCACAGTGCAGAATAAATTAGACTCTTATATAGGTACTGATCTCAACAGGGCAGCTATTCACCTAACATATCTCTCACCTAAGTTTAATGGTCATCTAGATTTTAATTTTTTTATTCCTTTGTAATTACATAGGAAGTTTTACATTGTCTCTGGTCAAAAGCTCTCTCAGTCTAAAATTAAATTACTGGGAATTCAGGCAGTACTCCTATCCCTCTCCATCGCGGTCAGAAAAAAATATTTTACAGTTCTCCGATTTATGAAGAATTCACACCAGTTGATAATGTATTAATTGTTCTACTTCGAGAGTTATCTTGGTCATTTTAGAGATCTTCATAGAAGACTCAATTGCATGAAGCAGACACAGATTGTAACTTCAGCTGAATCAGTGGGAATTCTTTCCCTGAGTCCAGGGAGAGGTTGACCAGGCTGTGAAATGGTTACACGTCCTTGCCAAGAGCTTTAACCTAACACTTGGCCAAATTAAAATTAATTTTCCCTAGAACAAGGAAAGACATCTCTCCCACCAAAAGTCTATCTGATTATTACAGCTGTTGACAGAAAGTCATGTTTACTATTTTACAATAGGAGTACTCTGCTCCTTCTTTTTGTATTAATCATTCTGCTTTGGAGGGAGGAGGGGCAGAACACCCGAACTAATGTATTTCTTTTTTTAAGTTTATATGAAGACTATAGGCTTGGCCCAAACAATTCTAGAGTTGGAAGAAGAAATGAATCAGAAAAAAAGCTGAAAATTCAATCTGGCTGTAAGTATTTTTAAAGCTGGAGCAACTGAAGGCAAGTTCTGTGAACAAAAGTGACAAGCATGCAGGCATGATGTTTTTCATGTATTGTAGTCTTCGTATTTCCAAGACTAGGGTTTGTTTCAGGAGAGATCTGACTAAATGTTAACAGGCAGTGAGCAGAAAAAAAGGATGTCATTAAAAAATGGGAAAGTGACAATAGCCTGTAAACAAAAGAAAAGTGGGAGAGACTGCACAGCTCACACCTCTCAGGACTTTGTATTCTCTCTTGCAGGCAAGAGAGCTAATTAAAACCTTGTGGCTAGAGAAAGACATCATGCAACTTAGGTCAAACAAATGGCTTTGATACAGAGACATACTTTACATGGAAACATTCCCCTTTCATGCTTTAAATCCTAGGATTACAAACACATATCAACCATCTTGTGAATATCCTTTGAGACAACATTATTTGCTTGAAGTGTATTATAAATTCTGGCTTTCAAAAAGAAACTTACCTACAGTATTCACACACACGTTTTTTGTTTTTATCCACATGAACGTCACTGCACGTAAGCTGGTAGCACTACAGATTATTAGGTTTGACCAGCAGTCTTCATTATAAGACTGCTTTAACAGCTTGTGAGTTTGTCGAATCATGACCAGTCTTCGCGAACAAAGATTTGGGAAAGGTCATTAACCCTTCCAGCCTGTGCAGTGGATTTTTTAGGTGAGACACAGCGTGCGCTGAACTGAGCCCACCCTTTAATCCTAAAGTTCATCTGCCGGGGCCGAGCAAGCTTGGACAGTGGCAGCGAGGTCCTCAGGACGTAGGTTTGTTTAGAGTGACCTTTTCTTAGATGGATGGCCTTACAGGGCTGAAGAGCTCCATCTGCCTGGGGAAGTCCCCTGACCGGGAATCGAACCCGGGCTGCGGCGGTGAGAGCGCCACATCCTAACCACTAGACCACCAGGGGGCCCCCGTTTGCTGAATATTAACTACATAAACTAACATTTTCCTCAGGGAAAAAAAAGAGTGACAGTTTCTTGGTTATCTATTTTACTATGTGTCTTCACATGGAAATGCCTGGCAAAATGGTTGAGAGATTAACTCATTGTTTTGCTCAAGTTAGAAATCCTCTGTAACTCATTTTCCTATTGCCTCTGCATTGTAGATTAAAACCTCAACACTGTGTACTCAAGGATACATTTTAGTCTTTGGTGTTTAAAAAAACTTTAGCTTGAAAAGTACCTACAGATCACTCCAGAGATTTTATCAGCTAAGTCTGTAGGATCCTACACACAGGTTTATTCCAATCCAGAGAGCATCACTCCTAGAGAATGTCCCACCTCCTCTGCAGTTAAAGATCAGACTTGCTGTGGTCTCTCAGGTGACCTGTACACCCATGTGGTCTGTGCAGTGGGAGGAGGAGGAGGGGAAAACTGAATGAAGTACAAAGGGCAAGAGATTGGGATATGGAAGTAGCAGATAACAGACCGGAAAATGGGAAGGAAGGAATAAGGAGAGAAGAGACTGGAAGGGAAAGAGAAATAGAAAAATCATACAGGAGAAAACTACAGGACTGAGAAAAAGGATGGAGAAGAAATGTGAGAAAGGGGAAGAGAAATTCCTTTGAAAGAGAAGAGATAGAAATATTGGGACAGTCTGGCCACACACATTGGACAGAATGGTTTGGAAATGCTAAGACAAACTAAAGAGTCCAGAGAGAGGTGCTGATCTGGAAAAAGCTGAGGAGACAGATCCTAAAATAGAGACAAGAAATGAATGTAAAGGAGAAAGGCAGACTGGTCAAGCAGCAAAGGCAGGAACTGAAACAGAAACATAGAATAGGCTGAGGAGAGATGAAAGATAGCCAAGCAACCCAGCAGGAATAGAATGGAAAGTTGCATATGAGATCAGCAGTATGATGCTGAATGAGGAGATGGTAGGGGAAAAGAGACACAGCAAGTGCAGAAGAGACCAGGTCACACCTGGATTAGATGAGCAAAAAGGACTCTTAGCAGAAACTCCCCACCAAAACCTGGATACTGATGATTCACAAGCCTTGTTGTTCTTTGTCAGCAGATATGTGTGAAATCCACCTACAAAAACTCCCATCAGTGTTCCATGTTGGGTAAACCTTAGGCTTCCTCAGGAAGCTCAAGTGCTAGACATTCTGTGTTGTTGAGATCCTGTGCTGGAAACCCATGCTTGTATGAATCCGATGATTTGTGTTAGGATTTCAAGATTTTGTTTTCAGTTTGTTTGGGGCTTTCAAAGATTGAAAAGTGCATCTAAAGCATCTGCCCTAAATTGTGTTGCAATATGAAGCACTCAAATATTAGGAAAGGCCAGTGGTGATCTCATCTGAACTGAGGCTTCCACATTGTAAACATGGACATGTAAGCTAATCACCTAGCCTCTTCTTATAGTCAGTAAAGATAAAATGTCCGTCTGGGTCAGGATTCACAAAAAACATGTGGGAAAATAGTCATTAAGTCAAAGGAATACTATTAAATTTGAGAAACTCTATACTTGATTCTTTTCTGTGCTTCTTAAAGGTTTTGAAACGCAGCTACTATCCATTTCAGGGATCATTTGGGAAGACTGACTTTTGGAAACCAAATCTCAAGGCTTCATGTTCAGTTCTCTATCAGCAGGAGATTTTGTTGGCTGACAATAACTTATTTTCTTGATGTAACAGCAAAATTTCCCTTCATTATACAGTCTCGCATCAACTCAGATATCCATCAGCTCACAGAAGTAGACACGGCACTTATGCAGGGATAGGGAGAGGGAATTGTATAGTCATATGGCTGCGTACTAGATCATGATGTATACACACAAAGTTGTATAGGCAGAGTAATCCTTACATTTTCTGAAATGTGACTATACTCTTCTGCAGTGTCAGATGTTGTTGCCTTCTATAAATAGAACACAGTGCAAAAAAAATCTTCTCAATGAAAGATTTGTAAATTCTTCCCTAAACCAAATTTTGCGTTAAATTCGAAGAGGTGAACAAAAGTAGTTTTCATTCTCATCTATGTTTCTGCTAACCAGAAGCTGTCCCATTTCACGAAATATGTGTCAGAAAAATAGGCTGCCTTGTTAATAGACAGCAGAATTCTCCACTGCTGTGAATGGTTGCTTCCTGGATACCGTATTTGACAAACACAGAACATAAAAGCCCTTGCTTCAGGTGGAAGTGCTGCAACAATGATAAGCCTTATGTCTGATATTGCAGAGCTGATTAAATATTATCTATGAGCAAGTGAATAGATGGATGTCTGTTATTCATTTCTCTCTCAGTAAGCACTGCAGAGTTTAATTCCCCAAAATCATTTCACTATGTTGCAATGAAATGATCATAATGCCCAGATGATTCACGTCTTTCACTTCACTTCCTAGTTACTGCAGTCTGAGGTGTGTCTTCTTACCTTAGCAAGCTGTTCCACTCCACTTGCAGTTCGTGCCAGTGTTACGAGATCTTCTTGCATCTTATCTACCCATGATTTTATCCTACAGAAACCAAAAAGAAAAGAGAGACATCCAATCAGATCACTGGCAAGTGGAAATCACATACAATTATACAGCACAAGGAAAGGGAAAAAATTCAGAATATGTTGATAAAATTGAAAACAAAACATAAAAAGTTTGTCTTTCAGGGTTTTTTTAATAGATCCTCTACCCAGTCTTGATGACCCGAATCTTCTGATACAGTTTTCTGCAGTGGCCACCACACTAAGTCAGCTGGAAACCAAGCGTACTATTGTATCTTTGTAGCCAAGCTGTGGCAAAGATCTCCTCAACAGAGCTGGTATGTTGCCTGCCAGGACAACCAGCCTGACCTGCAGCTCGCTCCCAGCAATGCCTCTCCTGAGGGCCTCAAGGTCCCTCTCCCAACAGACAGCACAAGCAGAGAAAAGCAGCCAATTGGGAGCAGGTTTAGAAACCTGACTGAACTTTTCGGCCTGTAGCCCTTCACCAGACACTTCAAGGAAGCAACAGCGAGATAGGCAACAGTGGGCATGACTTATTTTGGGAAGGCTCATCTGCTCCTGGCTGCTGTCACCAGGGAATAGGTGATTTGCTGCTGTGCATCCTCTACTCTCTGTGCCCAGCAAACCCAACTCTCTGGAAAAGCATTGGATCCAGCACAGTTTCTGTGCCATGCCATGTTCTGTAGCAGGGAAGGAGCCATGGTACACGTTTATTCCAGTTAGGTCCGTGTTCAGAAGAAGGTTGTGTAGCTTGCCTAGCCAGAAAGTTCCATCTCCAACTCATCTCTCACATTATCCCTGTCATTATTCCAGCTTTCTGCTCTGAAACCTGGAACAAATAAATATATTTAGCCATTTCCTAGCCTTAATCTAATACCCAAGCAATTATTCATTAATAAAGGAAAGACAGGAAAAAGAGAGATTCCATTTTTACTTCAATATGGAAAAATTGGAAGACTAAGAAAGAAGATAGAAGACTGATTCTACTCATTCTTTCCATGGCCATTAATACATTTTCTGTTAATCCAATACCAATACCTTTAAAGAGCACAATCTCTATTATAGAGTTGCAAGTTGACTACTTTTAATAAAGGATCCTTCCTCATGTGTCCTTCATGCATGAAAACTATATTTTCATTGACTACAGCAACTGATTCCATCATTGTTTTAGTACTCCCAAATCTTCCCATCTATACTATGCTTTCCAAAAACTGAGACAAATTAATTTCCTGGTTCAAATCTCCACAAAGCCCTATATTATATAAACATTTAGTTCAGCATAGAAATCAGTCTGTTTAAAATCATGGTGCATTATGTTTACCGTGGTTTTTAGCCCATCATGTGAGAAGAGAATTGACTCACAAGCACAAGCATGAGCAAAACCAAGAAAACGCTATCATCTTCCATTTTTGAATGGTTTCTATTTTTCTGTGTGAAAGAATGAGGTATATGAAAGGTGAAAAAGTGAAACCCATTAACCAAAAGTGTTTTCAAAAGCATAAAATAAATAATTGAACACACTGAGATTTTTTTTTTTTTACAATCCATTTCAGTTATAAAAATTGTGGGTGTTATTTCTAAGAGGAGTCGATAAAAAAAAATCAGGGAGGATTGATTTTTAAATTGACTTTTTCCATTTCCCACTGCTCTGTACTTTTACTGAATATATTCCTCTCTGTACTTAAAGGAAACCGGAATTTTGAAAACAATTAGTCAGTTATCTAGTCAGCTAAATTTGAAATTTTGGAAGAAGCTACCCTTGAAAACAGTAATTACCTATTAGTACTATTACTTGTAAATTAAATATGGGTCATTTTTCCTTTAACTTGCAAAAATATTGATTTTTCAATAAATACTTCTTAAATATTGTCTAAAACTGTCTTCACACAGTTAACCCACAACTTACTTTTTGGGGTTAGTCATGAGACTAGTCTTTGTTTTATTGTGGGTTTTATTTGTTTAAATTTATGATTAAGGTAGGTTTCTGCTTCAGTCAATGGAAAAAGGTATCTCCAGAGCTGACTCACTCTATCCTCAGCCAATATCAGTTTCTAAACTGGAATTAATGACAATTTCTCTCCCCATCTGTAACTAAAATGTAAATAATAAGGCTTCTTCCAATACTGACTGTATATTTACATTAAAAGATTATTTTCTTGCATATTCATCTTAGCTTGTTAGGCCTTCTGGAGTGAAAACTGTCCTTTTTTTGCTTTCCTGTACAGCAGGGTCCAACATCATCATAGAATTATGGAATCATAGAATAGTTTGGGTTGGAAGGGACCTTTAAAGGTCATCTAGTCCAACACCCCCCCCTGCAATGAGCAAGGACATGTTCAACTATCTCAAGTTGTTCAGAGGGTAAAAAGTAATAACTTCAGAAGGGTTGTGTTAGATTACTATCAAAAGAACAAATGATAAAATTACATTTTTCAACATTGAGGAAGCTCAGTATAATTCCTCTTGCTTTCCCACAGGAATTTAAATATTATTAGTATTATTTATAAAGTATAATGTCAGTATTTCTGCATCTCAGTTTCCTACCTTGCCACCAGATAAAAGTGTACATTTGAGAAATTTCACGTTCCTCACAGGCTGTTTTTCAGAAATGGACACACTCAGGTTCTGTAACTTTCACTGGAAAATGACATAGAATGTATAAAATAGAAGTTGTGGGTTTGGTTTTTTTCAGTTAAGGAAGTACATTATCTTATTGCATTTTTTTATTTGTTGGTTTGTTTGTTTAATTGTGAGTTTTTAAAAAAAAATTAACTAGGAGCCTTCAGGCACTGAAATGCTTGGCTGGTGCTCCTTTTAACTGAAGTCTGCAATATCTGTCTGACAGCTGCTCATGGTCAGAGTTTATTTAACAATTGGAAAGCTGTCACAGCAAACGTGAGCTCCCATGACTTAAAGCAGCAGCAGTCATTTTTTTTCTGCAAAGGGCACCAACAGAAAGCCTGTACAAAAGGCTGGTTTGTTCCTATCGCTGTTGGTTTGGCATGAACACTGCAATGGATGTTCCACTGAAAGGTGATTATGTTCTGCAGGACGATTGATTTTTAACCCCCTTCTCCCCCACACAGGTTGTCCCTGTATGAAGCACTGACTAGACAAAAGGAGTGTGCACATGCCTTCCCAGAGCAACTTCCAACTGATCTGAATGATGAAGGGAAATATCTGATTAAAGACAGACAGACACAGGTCATTTACTGGGGAATTAGAAGGTACGACCTTGCTGCTGTCACCTGGGCTCTGATCAGATTGATGAAGAAATAGTCAAAACACTACAGAGCCATCCATCCGCATTACATTATTAGCCAGCCTAGCATAACAGCTATTTTGACAGCACAGAAAGCATTTATTTTTCATTTTTCTTCCTTTTTATATTTTTTTCATTATTTTACAGGAAGACAATTATATTTCCTAGAATCAAAGGATTTTCACAGGTACACCCCTAGTCACACTCCAAGTAGAACTTAATATAGCAGGTGCTACACCAAGAAATGTGTCTTTTAATTTCATTAAAAACCTACTTTTATATTAAACCGGTATACCAAACTATACTAGGAGAACAGAGCACTGCTCAATTACAGGGGTAAAAGAAACCAAGAAATCTAGATGTAGAATAACCTGGCTATAACCTTTTTTTACTGCTGAAACTGATGCAATACTTTTCTGCTGACTTCAAGGACAGTAGATTCATGTAATGATATTCCATAGCTTTGCAGACTACTCACACTAATTTAAGGTCCATTAGCTGACTTCTGCTTGGGTAATGTCTTACAAAGAGGCAGGCATAGACCTTAACTGTGCCAACTGAAGTCAGTTGGTATATTGGAGGTGCACATCCAGTTCTCTTCAGTTAAGATTACATTGTGCTCAAGTTTCTGAATAGTTCTTGTACATAAAAATAACAACAAATGAAGTAATGAAAGCTATAAGTAGTGAGAGGAAGAAGTATTTTCAAAATAGGTCAATATTTCTTTGATTATCAAAAAGGAAAAATATACATAACACATTGCTCCTAACTCAATTGAAAAGTGGTGTTTGGAAAATGAAGATAAATGAGATTAGGCTCAGAAACTGAGAGAGTAAGCTTCACTATATTTTTTCAAGCTAACCACACTGTTTTTCTTACTCAGAAAAACCTTCACTTTCAGGTTCACATGCTTTTTAGAAGATTTGCTATCAGCGAAGGAGGGGGGAAACGCTACAAAATTATTGTAATGGCGGGATTCCCAACCATTCTTTGTCCCTCTTAGGCAACACCAAAGGGCAGGAAGAAATTGTTATTGTAATTTGTAAAAGGCATGTGAAAGAAGAATATATTTTACAAAGGAATTACTAAACTTCTACACAGAAATTACCCATGTTGCTGCATTTACACGTCCCGCTGCACGACTAGTGATTTTTAATAGGACTATATATTTTGATGACCTGTAAGTTGACAGTATGGGGATGGATGGAGAGAATTACAGAGAACCGGACTTTGGAAGCAGCAATAAAAGCAGGTTTTGTAAAGCACTGAAGAAATTGTACTAAAACCACACTGATTCTAAAACAGGGAAAGAAAGGGGTTGGACATGAAGAGTCTGATGCAAAGATCACTAAAACCCCATAGCTATCAAATCAAGCTCTCGAATCTCCACTGTCTCTATAGCCAGAAAACGAATAAAATAGGCTTATAGAATTTAGATGTGACATAAAACCAAATGAAGGCAAAGTTGTCCATATAAGCTTTTGTGAATTTTCCAGATCCTACTGTAGTATTTATAATAGTCCAGTTAGATGCCACAGAGTGGAGGAGATTTAATTTAACCAATCATATTCATGCTCACTTCATTCTATGACTTCTGTGGTTATGAAAATTCTTGGGATGGTGCACAGACCTCCAATTCTCCTTTTTCTGTTGTTTGGAAATTTCCTAATGCACTATGTGAAGGTATGATAGCTTAAAACTATAGTATAAATACTATATAAAATAGCAGTTTGAAAGGAAGTTAAAGATTCAGAATT